ATTTATTGTACCTTCGAAATTAATTGTCGAAACTTTCAGGCCCTAATTCATCGGATACCTTGATTCGATGAGAAAGGAATTATACACTGCAATTTAGATCCAAATAAAATAAATATGTAATTCTCTTAAATACAAAGAATGAAATTTCTTGTAATAAATTGCATCCATCGGATGGACGCAAGATGGATTTGCAAATTTTAGTTTCCTTTAGTGACGGTTACTTGTCCAGTCAAGATACCACAGTTACTGTTCACCGCATTTTACATTAAGTGCATTATTTATGCAATGCACATTGTAACGATGGTCGTCCGGCAATGTGGCGAGTAACAATTCCGCTCCGGAACCTTCGCGTGCTCCTGCAGGAACACGAACGCACGCCGGAAAGATTACTTTATATTTCTTGCGTGCCTGTTAACATTTTTCCCCTTTATCCTCTTCATCCGGTTTTGCCACGAGCGGGATCGTGCTGCTCTCTGCAAAATTTAATTCAAACGTTGGCAAGATATTTACACGAGAGCTTCCCTATGCTTTAATCCTCGCGATGAACAAAACGCGCAGCCAGTTTGTCATCTTTCGTGTTTATTTATAGCACAATAATATTTGTTCCAGTTGTTGCTTAATTGTTTATTACGGTCGCCTTCTTTAATTATTGCGTTTATAATTTTCATTATCGATATTCGATTACATATTATTATTTAACGAAAGAAATTTATATTTTTGCCATAAACAAAAGAGTATGATCAATAATACGTGTTACTCTTTATTGAGTATTTATTCCGGTACTTTCTCGATTTCAAATTAATATTCGCTCAATTTTATACAGTTCTTTTATACAACAATTTTATGCAACACTTGAAACCGTGCAACAGCGAGACCAATTTTATTTTAGAATTGTCCTATCCTTTTCTTCCTTCTTTTTCACTTTGCTTGCTATATTGCGTAATCACGCTTGCATAGCATTAATTTACAATGCGCTTGAAATATTTATACAAGGAAGCGAGAGCCATCGTTTCCCGCCACTTGTCTCTACGTGTCGCCATTTTTCTTATTCCGTTCACGTGCTTATTTCCCTTACCCTTCTCTCTTTCTTTCTCTCTCTCTCTCTCTCTCTCTCCTCTCTTTCTCTTTCTCTGTACCTCTCGCAGCGGAAACGCGTTGCCCGTGCGAAATTTAATTCCGGCACTCCGGTTCCAGCGCCCGGCTACGCCTCTCCCTACGATTTATAACGACACCGAACCAGCGCGGCGCCGCGTATTCGCATAGTAAGTTTCGGTATTGTTGCGGATACAGCGTGTAATATCACCGTGAAATATCGCCCGATCCATGGGGCACTCTATAATATCACCTTCCACTGCAATTACGACGGGATACTTCCGAATGACCGGACGCGGTGTTCCCGCAGTTTGTTTGCGCCGTACAGGGAACTGAGATTAGATTAGACCAATTATTACGGACGTGTTCTCTGTACAAACGAACAGGAATAAAGCGAAGCCGCATATAAATGCGCGTGAGAACTAGGACTAAGCAACTATAATCAATAAGTTACCGCGAGTACATGTAGAGTGTATTGTATTTTGACAGAAATTATTTTAGAAATGGACTGAATCCCAGTCGACATTAATCAAAAGTAACGTAACATCGATGTTACAGTTTTGCACTCAACATTGTAACTATTACGTAACGCCATGTGCTATATTACACTTATATCGAGTGTGAAACTAATGTTATATTACTTTTAGTTTGTGTCGATTGGAGAAATAAAGCATTTTTTTCTATCTTGTCTATTCACATATCGGTCTAATGACATTTCTTGTTATTAATTTTATCTATCTTTAGTAAACGTTTCCTTAACATAAAACTATTATAGTTATTGCGACAAAAATTATCACATGCCTCAGTGGTCAAACTGATAAAAATATGGAATGTATAAAGAGATCCAGGTTTGAACTTCGGCTGAAGTGATATTTTTCGCAATCAATTATTTACAGTATTTTAAGGGGAGTAATGCTGAAGTGACCAAATTATCACATTACAATCGTATAAAAATCTTCGAATTAACTAAACAGAATAAAAAATCCTTTTATAGGATTAAAGTAGACACAAAATTAGAAGGTGGTGCAGTGGACCTTGTACTAAAATCGAAAAAAGTTAAAAAATTTTTTAACATTCTTTCAATTTTAGTATAAAATCCACTGCACCACCTTCTAATTTTGTGTCTACTTTAATCCTATAAAAGGATTTTTTATTCTGTTTAGTTAATTCGAAGATTTTTATACGATTGTAATGTAATTTGGTCACTCCAGCATCCCCTTAAGACGCTTATTAGCATCAGTAACATTAAATTGCTCGACAATTGAATTTGTGATATTATTATATTAATTTCAATTTAAGACTGCCTTGCAAGTCCGCATTGTATACGCATTTCTTTATTGTGATGGTCACGACGGAGAAAAAAAATAGAAATAAAGAGACGTTGCAAGAATGAAGAAGAGAACCCATTTGTTTCAATATCGAGAAGCTACCGCATCGTTCTCCTATTCCTGCTTTAACAAAATTTCTGTTTACTTCATTCGTTCTCGAGAATATATCGCATCCACAGAGAGACAACAAAACTCACTTTCACGCAATCGCTCCCTCACGAACACGCTCTTTTGTGGTTTGTGCACACGCGAGCGTCGGGCCGTAATCGAGCGGAATTGTCCACTGGTGGCGAGCCGAAAGTTGGCTCCCCAGAAGACTCGTTCGTAGTTCTTCGAGGCTGGCTGTCGAAGCCGAGGTATGAGTGTCACGTGGCAAAGGGGAACGAGTATTTCGTTCACGTGGCGACAGCATCACGCAATTTCGTATTTTCACCGAAGTACTCTGTGCTCGAATCGTTATCCTTTATCCTTTCTTCGCTTCAACTATATACGAGTACCTTACCCGCGCCGAACTCGACGGTTTTATCTTTTATCCGTTCCGGTTTTATACGTGACGAAAGAAGTAAACAAAGATAAAAGACAGATCGATTTAGAAGTGTGATAGAAGTATAAGCTAAGTCGATTTTACGACTTACATTTAGTAATCACTTTTAATGGAATTATATACAGTGAATGCAAAAAATATTCGAAAGGCATTTTTATTAAAAAGAAAACCTTACTTGTAGAAAATAAATATTAATTAGCAATTTATTAACAATAAGTACATTCTATCTTAATAAACAAAAGAGTTTCAAAATAATCATATGCGTGATCTTAAAAGCTAAATTTCTCGACTTACCAAACAATACAATTTTTCATTTTTGTTTATTACGATGATATATTTTAATTATTACATATCTTTTTAAGTAAAATAATTTTGAAAAATATACAATCTATTTTATTATTTATTAATAAATTGCTAATTAATGTTTATTTTTTAAATTAAGATTTTTTTAAAAGGTATCTCGTCTGTACAAATATACTTTTTATACTTACTGTATAATATAATGAAAATCGTATTTTTATTACTATATCTACAATTAAGAAATTTAAGAACGCTGTTTCGACATAAACATACTTGATATATCTAATATTACTATCAACTATATATTACTGTTATTCCAATTATTCATCAAACAATAAGCTTTTATTCAAAATTAATGCGTATAAATTATTAGCTATTCGATGAACTGTAGTGATTGTCAAAAACTAAGATAAAATGTCTTCTACTATCAAATATACCTTTCAATTTAAATTCATAAATATTAAACTGCATATGTGTGTGTGTGTTGATAAATAATCTTATATTTTATCTATTACACATCAAGGTAACAACATCAAAAATTATTTATATAAACACGTCAAAAAGATGTCAACATACATGACACAAGACAATTCTTTGCTGGAAGAGGAAGAATATATTCACAAAATACCTACATTGATCATTCGAAATGGAAAGATACAGTAGATATGTACAAGAGAATAAATTATGCGCTCCGGAAATTTCGACAAATTCCGTGCGAGCCGTCTTAATCCATTCTCTGGCGGAAGTTTCAATAAGAAGCATGAGTTATACGTTCGCTATAAAGACTTGTGTCCCTCTCCATTTTTCCTCCATCTCTTTCCGCCACCATCTTCACCGCCTTTCGTCCTTTCCATTTTCACCCCGCGACATTCGTCCCTTTTCCTCGCTGTTTCCTTTCCTTCTCATTCTGCGTCCGCTCGACCCTCGGACGCTAATCCTGAAAAAGAGCGCGAGTTGAGCTTTTTGTGAGATCCAGAAACGACCGAGTCTGCAGGATGCAGGATATACGCGCAAAGACAACGCACTCCCTCGTTAGCAATAATCGTAGCTCCTCTACAGATTTATAGAGGAGCTTAGTAATTTAATCTCACATTATGGGATGGTCCAGAACATTTTTTTTTCAAGCCGTGAACTCGAGCATGCACTTTTGTGTTATGGCCGACAGGAGATGTTTCTTCATTAAGTGGTTCCGGCGAATTAAATTTGCAACATATTGTCCTGCGATTTTAATTTTGCTTTGAGGACCAAACATAGTTACTTTATTATTTCCATTTAAACGCTTCGAGCTTTGCGAATAGCCGAGACAAGCTGAAGCGGAAAGATAAAGTTTCTTTTTTTCTCTTGAAATTGTTTATACAGATAATATTCCATTTTCACGTTGTTCCGGAATACGTCTACAGAGGAAAGGCGAGCGAGAAAACTGCAGTCTGAAACACCCGTTAGTTTAACGACAGCCGGAAAATCGAGTTCAGCTGGCTTTGTCTCTCGCGCGTTATTATAAACTTCCAAGTCTTCGCATTCGCGCGCTCTTTCGATGCAGCTGCATTTCGTGTACAGAGCATTTTGCTATCTCCTGTGATATTTTCCGGACAAATATATAAAGCACTTCGCGTAAATGGACGTCACGCGCGTTCGAGCGAAATTGGCAGCTAGGACGTAAGGACGGATTGCGTAAAATCTCGACGAAATTGTTACAAGAGACCCAATTTCTTTCACACTTATTTTTATTCTCGCAGTTAGGGACTGCGAGAATAAAAGAAATAGGGAACAGAGAACAGAGAATATAAAACAAGAACAGGGCATAGAGAACAGTTCAATGTCAGCATATGAAACATAACGTCAATGTTCCTCAGCATTCTTTTGTTCTTCTATTTTGCGTGGACGCATTTCGTTTTTTATGTTGGTATTGGATTGTTCCCTCTCTGTTCTCTGTTCTCTACACTCCAAATATCGGTGTAGTTTTAACATCCTGTAGTGTCTATATAATTCTCACCGTGTTGATGTTAATATTAACGCCAGCATGATGTGGATTTAACACCATGGATTTTAAATTCATATCATGATGGTGTTGATATAAACATCAGGGATTATAAATTCACATCATGGTGTTAATATATTTAATATTAACATCAACATGATGAGAATTATATAGACACCGCATAATATTAAATACACACCGATATTTTTTAGAGTGTATTCTCTGTTTCCTGTTCTTTATATTCTGCGCAGCCCCTCAAGGGCTGAATTAACATCCAAGTATATTACCGGCGAGCAGGGGGACTCATTTAAGCCGCTTAGACACGGCTAAAATACAAGTATCCTACTTACAGGATGTATTCCTTGGCACGCGGGTGGCGCAAGTAGAAAAAGAAAGAACCTACTCCGCCGCGGGAGTTCAAATTCACGTTGGAAAAATAGCGAGAATTTTCACGAGGAGAACGAGCGAGCGCGAACATAGGGGACTCGTTTACCTTCCAGCGGCGAATAACACGTTCGATTTCGAGACGTTATTTTATTTTCCTCAAACGTTTGCTCGCGCGTTCAAGTGGGCCTCCTCCGCGTGCATTTGGCTGAAACATCCGCTCGATGTCGAGTACTATTTGGATATGAAAATTCCTTGGCAAGGGGAAGAGTCACGGCCCCTCGTAACGAGTCTCTAGGGCGAACTCGTCCCGTGGACGACAACCCTCTTTACGGCTAGTCAGAAGGAGAGAGGATGGATCTTCTGGAATTCTTTCTACGACGGAAATGATCAATAGGGGAAGCGATCGTTTCCGAAAGTAGATATTGTAGAATGACACAAACAGCAACTGACTCGCTCGCGGGGTGGAAAAAAGATTGCTCGGAGTAAATAGCAATTAAGTACGCCAATTCCTTTGATCCACCCGACGCGCAGCATCAACCCTTCTTTAGAGTATCTCGAAATGAAAAATAGGAGTGTGTGCAGTCGTCTGCGAACCCTCCTGAGAATCATTTTGGATGTCGCGCGACGGAGAGAAGATACTTTAGATTCGACTCTTTCGATTCAATTTGCGATAATATATTTGTTCACAATTACATGTAATTAATAATATTATACATATATTTATAATAGAGAAAGGTCACTGATACCGACATTCTACTTTGTTTTTGACAATATTTATTAAACAAAAGCTGAAAATAAAATTTTAGAAAAATAAATGCAAACTAAAGATCATCGTCCTTAAAATTAATAAAATAAACGATGCATAAATAAAGTACATAATTAATTCCTGTGCGCGAATGAATTAAGTCTAATATTATAAAATATAAAATTTGTGAGTATCGTTGTGTAAAATGATAAAATATATTTTCAGTCATATAGTATAATTAGAATTAATTCAAGAATTAATCGTATATGATATGAATTTTTCCGTCTTTTCTAGTCGATATATCTGTACCATTATAATTGAATATGAACACCGGCGTTTTTGCGCCGGAATTATTAAATATGCCCTACTAGGCGCAGATTGTCAGTATTCAATCGTCGTGCATTTTTTTGCAAAACAATTCAGTTTAATTTTAAAAAGTTGCAATATTTATTGAGAATTCTGTATTTATGATGGAAAACTCGTAGGAGTGAGTTTATTAATGAATCGTCGTGTACCATAACCACAACTACGTTTCGCATTCTAAAATACAGTCATGCGTTATGTAACGTTAATTCACGGTAAGCGCAGCGGAATTAAGCTGATTGAATTTTCACAAAGGATGTTGACGCATGCGCCCATTGACTCATAAAGTCCGCGATATGTTTTTAAGCATAAATTGCATACATGCTATGAGCAATGTTGTATTTTAACAAAACCGCGCGTTCGCCGTGAATTAATTAAATGATCGTTACAATGTGTTTCTGGTACATAATAATATATATCATATGTATTGAAGTAATAATACTTCAAAGGGCCCAAAGGCTTCCAAATAATGTGGTCTCAACACATTAATTGAAATTACAAATAAATAGCGAACGCGTTGTTTTATCTGCCAAGCTTTGTGACACGCGTAAACAACGTACGTAAAATGTTATAAAATTGCATGCTTTCCTCTTTTTACATGCGATATATGATTGAAACGCCTAATAATTAATTATAAATAATTTATCGAGATGTGGATAATTCATGGAAATAATAATTGCGTAGAAATGAAAATAATGTAAAGCTAGTTTGATAAAGTTTTCAATAATTGTGTAGCATATAGCGTCAGACAATTTCAAAATAATAAGACGAAGAACATGAATTTGATCAGCAGTCACAACATCTTTCTTGAATGAACACAGACAGCGATAGCATATCTTGACAGTAAGCATGCGATCCACCTTGCGCTAGTTTGAGTTGTATTTGTTTGGTATGTCGAATCATACGTTTTCTCTATTTACCTTTTTATCCGCGCCATATGTGAACACAAAATCATCAAAATGAAAAAATACTTATTAACAATATAAATACAACAAATTCTATTTCATCTTTTCTACCTTAAGGGGCTTTGCCCAATCAAAGAAATAAAGAACAGGGAACAAAGAATAGAGAACAGAAGGTCAATGTATCTTGAAATGAGAATTAAAAGTGAATGAATTTACTAGAATATTTATAATTTCATTGATGAACATCTAATGAATTTATTCACTTTTGTAATTTCCACCTTGTTTCAAGATACATAATCGATCTCCTGTTCTCCATTCCTTTGATTATGCAAAGCCCCTGAAACAGAGGGGCTAATTCTTATCTAACCATTTATAATTGCTAACATATCTTAATAAATTCATTACTCCATTTTCTGCTAATCCTCCTGGAAAGCACGTACATTCAAAGCGAGACACACAGACCTCGCGGCAAAGTGTGCTCTTGCATGATCAGTTATTGATTCAACGCGACCACAATTCGAAGTTATTAAAGCAGCGTCATTCACAGTGTGACGTACATGAAATTGGTCCTCTCGCCAAAAATACAACGTTGGACCAAAAAATGAAAGGGAGAGAGACGGAGAGAAAAAGACGATCGGTCGTATCGCAATGGCCTTTGCGACCCCGATTCTTAATCCATTGCGAATCCACGTGTATTTGCAGTGGGTTGACAACCGATTCGCCATTTTCTCCGTGAAAACTGCGGCGAAGCCAATCAAGCCCCACGTCAGAGAGAGAGAGAGAGAGAGAATGAGTAGAATGCTGCGAGTGCTCGAGCGGTTAACCAGGTTGGATCTACAAGTGCAAAAGGGTTAATCCAGAAAACTCAACTCGCGATAGATCACCGCTCGTAATCCAACCTTATCTTTCATATTCGTTTTCGTATCATCGCTCGATGATATTTTTCTTCCTGAAGTTCTACCACGTATAATCCATAAGCGATTTTCGCGGTAGATGCATTTATGTAGCGAAAAAACTCCCGATATAGAATCGATACTAAATGTATTTATATTTGTATATACAAATATTTAAATATATTTATGTTTACATACATATATTGCAAAAAAAGGTATAACTTTTTTCGCGAGTCTTCGTGATCGTTTTATTTCTATATTTTCATACGTATTTTTTTTCATGGAAACCGAAAATTATCATAATAATGATACTAAACTCAAGGAAAAATTGATACATTCAAATAAAGTTAATAAAATCCTTATTCGCATCATTACACAATCATCAGTTGTGCCTCAATCATTTAAAAACTAATTCAGAGTTGGATTAACAATTCTGGTAGCGTGGTACAAAGAAGGCCGCGAGTTGAGAGAGGAACACGAGTGGATATTGATGGATATCAGAGCATTTGTCAAACACTGGAATATTAGCGGACGTAACGATACCCGCTGCCGAAAGCTGGTATACTTATTAGCGTATACCTCTATGCATGGCGTCGTGCCAACTAGTTACGAACCGACCCTGTGGGACAGAGGTGAAGTCCGAGCGCGTACTCGGCACCCGGAAACCGGGCTATGCATACTTAGTGTCCCAACTCGCCCGGGTCTCCTGACGATATCAGGTGCAGGGATGAGGAAGGGACATCTCTCTCTCTCTCTCTCTCCCCCCCCTCTCTCTCTCTCTCTCTCTCTCTCTCTCTCTCTTTCTCTCTCGCGGAAATGGGTACAGGAGAAAAAAGAACCGAATTGAGGCGAGAGGAGAGAAATGGACATCGCGAAACAAATAGCAACGAGATCGAACTTATTTTGCCGTTTCGGTGCGCTCAATTATCTTGGATACATCAATTACATCAGATATATAAACGTGAGCGGCGATGATTATAAGAAATACCCAATTTTGAGTTTTCCCAGAGATAATGATATATGGCGACGATAATTATCCCATATGAATATTTACGAAATGTCAGTGATGCGATCGATCGTAATGGAATCAAAGAAGCGCACGTATATCGCTCTCTTACTTCAAAAAGTGGCACAATTTAAAGAATTAATTAATTAACAATATAAATAAGAAGAAAAGCACCAAAACTACGGTCAAAGTTAAATGTAGGTTAAATACATTTACTTCAGATATGTGACTGTACGTGTCGATTACTTTCAGACTTCTAACACAATCAAACTAAAATAATAATAATCTTACAAATTAAATTTGATCGTCGATTTTAAAAACTTTCAATATCAAGAAATTAAATTCCTTAGAAAAATTATTTTCCAGCTTGATAGAGAATTGTTAATTAATCGAATAATATCGATTAAGAGTATATATTTTTAACATAATCGAATCATTTTCTTAGACATTAACATTTAAAACTCACCTTTTTTGAGTTGTGAGGATTTTTTTTAAAGTTAAGTTAGTTCATATTTGAGAATTGATTATAACTTGCTGATTATAATAATTGATTATAATTGACTATAATTGATGTTAACTTGCCTCATTCATTAGTTCAATAACTCGAAAATCACTCTCTTTTGTGAGTTGTCATTTTTAAAGTAAGGGAAAAATATGTTTTATTACTTTGTCATAAAAATTAATAATTTCTATAAAATTATAAAAAAGTCATCTGTGTATTCTACATAAAAGGATCGTTAGCATAAAAGAAAATCATGATTATCTGCCTTATAGAGAATTAATGGATGCAATCACTTCATTGTACGGTATCTGCAAATGATAAACGCGGTAGTCGTTTGTGCCACTCAACTCTAAGCGGCTGTTACGGGGATTTGCGATAAAGATGAAAGATAGCAGAGCGAGAATCGATGTCAATGACCGAGCGGGGGTTGAGTTTTCTCAGACATAATGAAATATGGAACGTTCCTTCCGCTCGTTTTGTTCGGTGCTCATTAAAAGGAGTGCAATTCGGGATGAAAAGCTATGTACTTTTTATAGTCCGCCCCGGTCGCGGTTCTTATCTGCGCCGTCGCAGTTTATTGTTGAAAATAAAGATTAGCCGGATAGTTATAATGTAATATGGCCCGGTCGTGTACGTAATCATGGAATTTACGTCACTCACCGCTTGTAAATCATCCGCATGTACACATTCGCCGAAAGCTTACCATCTTTCTTCATTATCGCAACTATATTATATGCATGCGTTTAATCAATTACATCGCCATAATTTGCGCATATAACCATAATAAGATAAATACAGGGATGATAATTAAAAAATCGCAAAAATCGTATTAAATAAATAACTCTTGATATCTACATAATTAAAGTGACTGATGAGTGACAGTCGTTATAGTGATTTTTTTTTTGACGATTTCATACGTTTCAGATAAAATCGAATAAATCGAATAAATCGAACTTGCAAACTTGTGTTGCGCACAAACCTGTTGTCAATATAATATATCGCTTACGCGTCAAAAAAAGATTTATAACACCTTTCTAAACAATGTGTCTAACAATTTATTCTATTTCTATTTCTGTTTTTCTATTTCTCTATTTTTTTTTATATATCTACCTTTTTTCTATCATTTTTCTTTTCACTTGTCTTTTTCCACGTCAATCACAAATCTTTATAAAATTCTTGTAGAAAAAAATGTTCAACAAAAAACGTACTTGTCAAAAATAAGATTTTATATTTTACATTAACGTGTCATACAATAATAAAATGCATATTAAAACAATGAAACACATAATTTCCAAATTATATGCAACCTAATTATAACAATCCACACACAAATTATTAAATAAGAATCATTCAGAAATCATAAAATAATAAAATAAATAAATGTTATAAAATAAAAAGATAAAGTGAAAACTGATATTTATCAATAATTCATTTTATAATTACTAACGAAGTCTTTTACATAGCAAAAAAAGATATTTTAATCCACACAGCAAAACTATCCTGAATATATCATACAAATATTACTATATCTATAAGCTGTCTCTACGACATACTATATTAGATATTTCTATTATAATAAATCATAAATAATAATAATGAAATCGTATTTATCAAAATGTAGTTATGTATCGAAATACTTCGACAATACTTGATATATTGCGTTACTTCCATTTTTAACATTGATTTAATTTTTATCTTTTGAAATAAAATACTTCTTTATTTTTTATGAATTTGTGCCAAAAAGCTTTTCCTGTAAAAATCATTATATTATTAAATTATGAGATTAACTTTAAGTATATTAACTCTAACTATACAATTTGATATTATTTTTAAATATATTGCATATTTTTTTTATGTAGATTTAAAGACATTAACCACTGGCTTTCTCTAATAAATGGTCTCACAGTTGGAATCGGAAATCCATTGAATGTATTGGAAAGAGTTAATGTGTAAGCGCCCATATTTCTCCAAACTAACCAATCGCCTATATGAAACTCAGGCAACAATACATCCTTAAGTATTAAATCATACGAGTCGGCAGTCGGCCCCCATACATTCGAGAGAAATTTTTCGTCCCTCGTCGGCTGCGATGATAAATTGACAGTTATCTCGTGTGATTAATACCAAGGGACACCGTTTTGTGCTATACAGCTTCAAGTGATTACCTCAAAAACCGATTCCGGGATTCTGTCCTGCAGGCCTAACAATGCGTCTAGAAACGAATTGTACACCCCGCAATTCATATAATACATCCTCCTCGTTATGCCGTCGAAAGTGGCGAGCCTTTTAGAGTGCAGATACGAAGCTAAGGTAAAGCTCGAACCTACGTAATAACGTCCAGGCTCGCTGATGACTCTTATATCGGGATCAAGATTCTCAATCGCACCGTTAATAACCTTGGCTAGCTAAAGAAATTACGAAACGTATCAATATTAACAATAATAACAGTATTAAAATGAACAGAAAGTATATTAACTTCTTCAATTAAGTCATCTCAAAAATTAGTTACCATTATTATCCGTCATATTATAATTCACATAATAATAAATAAGATTATTTCATAATATTTCGCTATAACACACACATACACACACACACACACACACACACACACACACACACACACACAATTGAAGACTACACAATAAAGTAAAAAAGTAGAGAATAAAATAACAATTATGAGATACATTATATAATCTTTATGTATTATTATTTTATATTATTTTGTATATTTTTACGACCAACTGCTGCCAACCGAAGGTTGGCGAAAACGGAGGGAATATGCGTTTCACCGAGGCGGATCGGTGCTGGCCGATAATAAACCGAGATCGATTTTCCGTGTACAGCTGGTCACAGAAAGATTGTAATACTTATTTTCCCATGAGATTTGGAATGCAGCTCGCTCACCGAACGATTAGTTCTTACATATAGATTCACTCATTTACGTTCAATCACTTTACGAGCAAGGCTAAGTTCCGAAACACATCGAAAAAAAGTGTTACCATCTTTCTATAACCGGCTATATGCATTGGAAACGTTTTTTTTTTATGAAAAGGACTATAATATGCAATTTGCAATTAGCATCGATTTTTTAGATCGATCTTTGCTGAATCGATTCTTTGATATTCAATCTTTTGGTGAATCGATACTTGCAGTTGCGATTCAGATCGATTAAAAAGATCGATCTGAATCGAGCATCCCTACTCCGGACTGCTGCTAAAATTTAAGTAAATTATAATATAGACAAAAATCTTAAAAAAAATTAAATATTAAAAACTATAAAAAATTAATATTAAAAATAAAAAAGTAAAAAGAAATTTGAAAAAGTAAATTAAAAAAAATAAAAATTAAATAAGTTACAATACAGACGAAAATCTTAAAAAAAAATATTAATTAAAAAATTAAAAACTTGAATATCTGTTAAAAACAAAAACAAATTAAAAAAATTTTTTTTTAATTAAAAACTTAAAAATGTGTTTTTTTAATATTACATATTAACCTGCACTATCGGCAAAAAATTTAGAATAAAGTCATCAAGAAAGTTTGAGTAAATAGAAGAAGATTACTTTTATTTTTACGTACCTTGTCAAGCTCTTCTCCTCTGATGCTTAAGAATCCACCACCGATGTCAATCAACTTTACGTTGCTGCATCCGATTGATTTAGCGACTGCGATTAACTGCTTACATATTTCGATTCCTCTGCAGTAGGCGTCCATCTCTAAACATGGAGTACCAACGTGAAAGCTGAAGCCGTATAAGTTCAAGCCGAGATCTTGCGCGCATTGTATCAAATGCACAGCTTCCTCGCACGGATCGCAACCGAATTTCGCTCCCAACAATATCGGCGAGTTTTTCGAGTCGCAACGTATGCGTATCACGATCCTGTGCAGCCGTAGAGCAATTATGAACCATATAAAGAAAAATATAAAGGAAAAGTGAAACAAAAAAAAAATTATATAATATAATACAATATTACATATTATAATAAAATGGAGTAACTTTGACCTAGTAAGGATAATTTCGGCTCAAATTTAAAAAAATGCCTGTACAACACGCATGTCCAAAATCAGGACATAAGATGTCTTAAAACATTTTTAAGAGGTTTTATGTCCTGATTTTTACACGTATGCTGTCTTAGCAAAATTTAGGCCAAAGTTACTCTGCTTTTGGGCTAAAATTATCCCAGTTATATTATATTATATAGACTTATTTAAAAAACCATTCAGCACTTACATGATAAATAGAACACACCATACACTGAAAAAAATATTTGTATAAAATTACATGATTATGTTGGGTTTTTTCCGACTCAGCATAATCGTGTAACATTACTTAAATATGATTGTAAAATTTTCTAAATGACTGGAAAATTACATAAATATTTAGGTAATTTTCCAGTCATTTAGGTAATTTTACAATCATATTTAAATAATGTTACATGATGCTGGGTCGAAAAAACACCCAGCATAATCATGTAATTTTACACAAATATTTTTTTCAGTACTAAGTAAAAAAACATTAGTGAACATAGATCAATATAAAGTTCAACCGTTTTTAAGATATAAACGTTTTTGTAAGTATATTAGCATCATGAAAATAATCAGTCATATATCTGAGAAATATATTTAAAAAATATATATAGAATTAAACATTATTTCAATATCTAACTTTAACTGGCGCTTGTCTTACTTGTTGAAAATTTATTTATTATTATTAGTCTCACTTACTTAGCTTCGGGAAATAATTCCTTAATTTTCGTCAACTCAAGTTCGCTGTCAACCGTCATCCGTTTGACGCCTACGTTTCTAGAGTATTCGATATGAGACGGCAACTTATTTGGATGCGCGAAAATTATCCGCTCACCTTGCACGTCATACTGTATTACTTGTGCTATTTCTTGCTGTTAGAAACATAGTTAATTAACTTGGGAGTCACAGAAGACGGCTTATTAATTCGGGGCTTATGTGAGGCTTATATAGAGTGTCCCTAAAATATTTAATCTTCAATTCTTTTGTTTCTTTATCCAGATTAGGCAGAATACATTAGTGAAGCATATAGTCAAGCACTTTAGGAACACCTTGTATAAACAGTGAAGATTTAGATATTCTGTGAGATAAAAACGAAGATTTACCTTTGATGCGCAATCAAAAAAGGCATTTAAAGCCGCCAGAACTTTAATTACTGTCGAATTTGAATTGCATTTAATCGCTGAAATTTAAAAAAATGAATGACCGTAACTTTTATATTGCAATACATTTCGGAAGATAATGCAGCAATAGAGATAGAAGAGAGATAGAAAAAAGAATGCAACAAATGCTACAGACGTACCATAGTGCGGAACAATCTTGGGCATTTTGCTAATCCATTCTTGATGTCTTCTAATAATGTCACCGATATCCACGACATAGAAAGCATCTTCTGGCTTTTCATTTTTAATTATATCTCTAATGACATCAATGTCATTTACGCTATCATTAACGACTTGTATGTCTTTGAAATCCAAGTGCGACATAATGAAATTAATATAATAAGCACAACAAAATTTAAGATCTTCCTGCGAAAAAAATATGTACTCAGACACTTACTATTTCTTAATTAAAATAATTTGTTTTTATTTAGCTATTAAAATCGAGTCTTTACTTATTATTGATTAACAAATTACGTAAGAGTTTTATTATAACAATAGATTATACAATAAAGTAAAATAATGAGATGTATTAATTTTTATATATTAATCTATCAAAATTTAGCAGAAAGTAAAAGCAAAAAAGAAAAAGAATCAAAAAGGAACAAATAAAAAAATAGATTGCTTTCATTTTTATAAGTAATTCCTATAGATAATTGCTAAAATTTGTTATACTGTAATTAGTTACAATAAAACAATACAATATACTGAAAAATAATGCATACTGAAATATATTGAAATGTATAAAAGATTAATATTGCATAACAGCAATTGCGATAAATTTTATATCCTTCAATTTTGGCACCGTTGTAAATAAACCAAATTAATATTTTTTATTCTTTAATAATTTTCCTGCTAAAGGATTTTTCCCTCACATTAATTAAATAAAATTTTAAAATTTTTTAAAATTATCATACAAAAATTCAAATAAACTCAAAGTTACTTGTTGTAAAATGTAACCAAATTTATTATTATACTATTCCATTTTCTAAATTAATGGAATTCAACATTTGCGATAAACCGTTAAAATTTTCATTTAACATCGAATTGTGTTCTTTTCACACTGTGTTTAAAATTTGATAACAGATTTTAATATGATAATTGACATGCACTGTCTAAAAGTTAACCACACCGTAAAATGTTGTGATTACTTAACTGCAATTTCGACAATAGTAACAGAACATCGTTTTTTTTCTTTCCTAGACTGTTTCACATATTACTAAGATAACTTTTTTATTACTTTTATCAAGCAATTCTTCAACATTTCGCACTTTGCAAAACTGCAAAATTTGTTTCCAACTCTCTCAACAGGTTTGATATTTTTATGTTACTTTTAAATAAAATTCGTATAAACGTTATGAACGTTTAAACGACGATAACTTCTCATCCACATCACAAGTAAAAATAAAAAATTACAAAGAATCACTAAACCTTCTGATTTATATAAACGCATTGTATATTTAAAATTAATGTTAAAAAATATACTTATTTTAATATGTACATATATATATATACTTACTTTACATATACTTTGTATAGTTCAATACTCTGCAAACAAAGAAGATAATTGACGTACGAAGCGACCAAAAGTAGATACGTACAGTGGAACTGGCGACTGACTGGCACCAAAGGAGCGAAATTCCCACCTTTTATTGCTGCGTTTTACAAATCAGAGGCATCCGTAATCATTCTATCCTGTGTTCACTAAATTCAGATAAACAAGAATAGAATAATTACGGATGCTTTCGATTTACAAAATCGAGCACAGCTATTATTATACGCTTTTTCCAAATTCAAGCAAATTCAAAATTTCCGAAATAAAGCAACCACAGTATCAAAACGTGTTAATGATTACAGTAATAATAATAGCTCTTTTGCTGACATGGAAACCTTATAAGCAAATATTATTTGACATTTCTTCATATGTCTCTTTATTTACCAAAAATGTTTTCAAAGAAATTGTTAAAGAAAATCAGACGGTTTAATAGTAAATTATAATATTCGCTGACGAGCAAGATTAGCATCGATGTATTCTTTCACGACCAAAAACATTAATCTTTTTAAAGTTCTTAGTTTAAGTTCTTTGGTACTCTTAAAGAAACTTTAAATTTATCTCTAAATAAAAATTATAATACATAATATATAATTAATTTTTAATAGATAATATAATTTATTTAAGTTTGTTTGTGTGTGTGTGTGTGTGTGTGTGTGTGTGTGTGTGTGTGTGTGTGTGTGTGTGTGTGTAATATATTTTATTTAATTTTCTGATTATTATAACTTTTGTTGTAAAACTAACAAAATACTGAAAATTATATAATTATTAATATAATTAATAATTTATTCGATTCTTTGCAATTCTAAACTTTAGTTAGTGATGATACGTACGTTTATAAATATGAGTTATATTTATACTAAACTAGAATTAAATCTATAATATGCTTAATTTCATTTTTAGGACAGCTTTAAATTCTATTAAGAATTCACTCAATTACTCTTGTCGAGTCATATAGTTCGAATTATACTGTTGGTTTTAGAAAATAGACTTTTACTTCGAGTCAATTTGCGCTTTAAAATCCTCCCTGAAAATATTAACAATTTAATTTATACAAACTATAGATATCATATGAAAAAAAAACAATGACACTATTAAAAATTTTGTATATTTCATTATTTTTATCAATACTAACCATTGACTCTTCCTGATAAATGGAATCACAATTGGAATCGGGTATCCGTTGAACATACAGGCTGTGCTTAAAGAATAAGAACCCATATTCTTCCAAATTAACCATTCACCTATTTCAAGCTCAGGCAACATTATATTTTTGACAATTAAATCAAACGAATCGGCAGTCGGTCCCCATATATTTGAAAGAAATTTCTCTTCGTTTGTTAGCTACGATGATAAAGTAATAACTGCTTCTTATTAAAATCGTTTTTGTACGCGTAAATAATGCAAAACATAAGATTACCTCGGAAAGTAATTGTGGGCATCTAGACTGAAAACCCATCATTTCATCGAAGAAGGAATTGTACACTCCGCAATTTATGTAATACATTCTCATCATTTCTCCATTCTTCGGAACGATTCTCTTGGAATGCAAATATGAGGTTAATGTGAAGCCGGAAGTTACGTAATATCTTCCCGGCTCACTGATAAATTTTATCTTAGGATCGACATCCTTGATCGCATCATTAATGATACTGGCGAACTGAAAGAATTACCATAGATACAAAGAAAATGTCGATTCCTGCTTACCACATGTATTAGTCAATAATATCTTTCTGCTTGAAATTAGCTGCGTTTTAAGCAGAGACATCGCGCACACAACTATTAAGTATTTAAATATATATACATTTTATAAATAATTGCAATATAATCTGGAAATTGTAACAGTATTATGTTCGTACGAATGCAATGCTCGAGTGAAAAAGCATTACTGACCACATATGTACATACACATGAGTTCTGATTAAAGTTAAAATTCTGTTGTAATTAACTTCTTGCAGAAAAATTTTTAACTTGTTCTCAGATAGCAAAATTGTGAAACGATTACGGACATGAATAGCACGATCTTTTTTGGCAATCGATGTTCTATTATGACGTGTATCAAAGTTTCATCGTATGATTTTCAATGTCAACTTTAAAGTGGTTTAAAGTTTGTAAGTAACAAGTTTATATCCTAAATTAATTTTTAAGGTGCTGTTCTCTTATTTTGAGAAGATAAGTAAACTTGAATAATTGTGTTTTTTCGCTAAAACATAATTAAATATAAATTTTGTCAACGTTTCTGTATTGGACCATATAAAATTAATGTGAACCCTGGGGTTTTAACGAAAAATATTGCAGAGCGTTGTTTTTCGTTAAAAATCTTTGTGGTAATCATTTTATATAAGAAGAATCAAAAATGAGATATCCGAAGCGGAAAAGATACATCGTGATAAACATTCACGAGAGCGGGATCAACGCAAGAATATTACTAGGAAAGTATTCATGAAAAGAAACTTCTGAATCTGATAATATTTCAATTTCAAAATTTTCTGTGAATTCAAGCTATTTGGACTTCGTAAGAAGTTCAAATAGATCTGAAAAATTCAGATTCTGTAAAAATATAGCGGGAAGAAGTACTTCACCACACATTCAACTAATCACATCATAGTGTCTCTTTTCATTTAAATAATTTTTCCTATTTTGTAAACTGTTTAGTTATTTTAAATTTGTTCTATATTAAATTTAGATTAATAAATTATTGTTTTTTATATAATATATCTAAAATATAAGTAAGAAATAAAAGATTACACAGAAAACAAAATAGAGTCCACATTACCACCTTTTCTTCTATCAATCAGAGAAATATGTTTTAATGTTTTACTTATTCTTACAAGTCCTTTGCAAATCTAAAGTTGATTGAAAAAAATTAATTTTTGGTCATCACAAAAAAAAACTAGAACTCCATCATTTTGTTTAACTTTTTATGTTTATATAGAAATGATGTTTCATGTCTTATCATTTATATTTATACTAACATTCTAATGAAAGAAAGATGATAATTATCGGAGGTTAAGTCCTATACCTGGTCAATATCCGTTCCTCTCTCGCCCGGAAATCCACCACCGATGTCGATCAACTGCACCTTGTCGCAACCGATTGCCTTGGAAACAGTAACTAATTGTTTGCACAATGCGATCCCTCTGGCGTAAGCCTCGAACTCCTCGCATGGACTACCGACATGGAAGCTAAATCCGTGCAAATTCAGACCGAGATCTTTCGTGAGCTGTATCAAATGCACAGTTTCCTCGTCCGGTTCGGTGCCGAATTTTTCTCCCAATACTACCGGCGTGATGTTCGAGTCACAGCGTATACGTATGACGATCCTGTCGCACGGAGGCATTCGGTAAATTTCTAAATATATGCACGGAGAGAATTTTCTTTTAAAATTTACCCTGAAAATACGGTTGTGGTACAATACAATATTTTAAAGATTTTTATCATGCACTTAAGTAAAATTAATCAAACTTATTTTATACTTTATTGTAGTTTTATCAATGAATGAGACAGATTTACATTAAAATTCTTCGAAATAAAATGTTGTCCCACGACTATCATATTTTCAGGGTAAATTCTAAAAAAAAATTCTCTCCGTGTGGAAAATCAGTATATTATATTTTTCTCACTCAGCTTCAGGAAAGATATCCTTGATCTTGAATAGCTCACTTTCACTATCGACCGTCATTTGTTTGACGCCCACTTCCCTAGCATATTCTATGTGAGAGGAATACTTAGTCGGATGCGCGAAAATAATCCGATCACCTTGCACTCCGTATTGCATTACTTGTTTTATTTCTTGCTATTAGAGGAAAGATACGAAATTATTTTTAAATATAATATAATATTTGTATCAAATAACTAAAGAAAGATTTGATGATTTACCGCGGATGCACAATCAAAACAGGCATTCAAAGCTGCCAGAACTTTAATTACTGTTGGATTCGGATTAGCTTTAATTGCTAAGATAGAAAATAATTATATAGTATTAAGAATTTATAAGTGCATTATCGAGAATGTAAAAATGAAGTATTTAAAAATACCAAAGTGTGGAATAACTCTGGGTAGCTTGACAAGCCATTCTTCATGTTTTTTTATGACTTCACCAATGTCCGCAATATAAAAGGCATTGTCGTGGTATTTTGTATTAATCATAGATTTTATAATATCCATATCATCCATTATATCGGCAACAATTTTTATTTCATCAAAGGAAAATTGTGCCATATTAAAACGTGTATCACAATGGAAAACTTTGAACTTGAACTTTCTGAAAATATTTAAGTATTTATTGCTTATTTTTTAATAGAGTGCAAATTATATTTAGATCATTCATAAAACAGTAAGAAAAAATAATTGATAATTTTATAGAATTTTGGACATCCTAAAATGAGACTTTTGAGACCATGTACTCAAACAAATTTTTCTTTATAAAATAACCTTAAAATCAATTAAAATGTTAGACGTAAGAAATATACTAGTACTTAAGAAACACCCTATATATACATATACATGACTATCTCATTATTTTCACGGGAACATATATTTTACAGTCCATTTTATGTTCTCTTACGTCATTTCAATTTAGTATTAACGACTTTGCTTTTATTATCAATCTGCAAAACTATTCGCGATTGGGACATTTTCGCGTATCGCTAATAATACCGTTGCTTTTACACTTATGACCTATTAGATAAAAGAATATATATATATATTAGGAGCAATAGTGTCTCGGCGCTAAGGCAAGTATACATATACATGACTATCTCGTTGTTTTCATGGAAATATATTTTACAGTCCATTTTATATTCCTTTATGCCGTTTCAATTTAGTAATGATGGCTTTGCTTTTATTACTGATCTGCAGAATTATTCGCGATTGGGACATCTTCACGTATCACTGTTGCTTTTAGGACACTTATGATTTATTTATAGATAAAGAATATAACTAATTCTAATTACATACGTTCTCACGAGAAAATAGAAAAATATACACATATATATAAAAATTTTCTAATATATTTTAGACGTAAATGATTCGTCAACGAAACAAGCAGATACTAATATAAAAAATCATTATTCAACTGTAAAGTATCCTTATTTGTGGAAAATCAGTTTACGGCTGCACTTATTTATTTGATATGACAAATCACCGTGTAATAAACAGGAAATTTTGAAAATGTGTCGATTTATAAAAGCCGAGACGTTATAAAAATCAAAAATTTGGTATATAATATATTGCCTGCAAAAAGTTAATACAATATATAGAAATTGAACAGTATGATAGAAATTGCAGAAAATAAGAAAAAAGTAGAAAGAAATATGGAAAGAAAGGAAACGTCAAGATTATAATTGCAAGCATTTAAAAAAACAAATACACAGAGTTGCAAGAAATATTCACAGTTTCAATAGATCCAGCAATGATGATAATTAATGAAAATAAACACATAAATTATAATCTAAGGATAAAATATAAAGGAGAGTAAACTTACTGATAATTTAAATTTGCAACGTTCTGACTTGAATGGAACCGTCAAAAATGTTGTATGCTAAATGTATGCAGAAAATTCAAAATGAATTCAAAGTGGTTCATGTCGCGAACGAAATCTTCTTATATATATTGCATTCCCACTTAGGTCTAAGTAGGAATGCAAGATGTAAGAAAACTTCCTAATTATACGAAGAGTGTACGACTAATAGAATTCTACTAACGTACTTACGAAACAAATACGTTAAAACGGATAAATAAATAAATTTTACAGCATGTTTTACGATTCTTATACACCTATTTTACGCTTCCTACTCTTTCGAAACACTTGTTCTATTTGCAAGTAATTAGCGTTTCCTTTCATATTATGATGTCCTGGCTAGTTTTTGAGATAATACTTCGAAGTAATTTACTCGGATGTACGTCATTTATCTATAATAGTCTATATAAATTTTTGTAATTATAAGTCTGTTTTTTGTGGCTGAACTAATACAAGCTTTTGGAACTTAAAGTGAGAGTCTATGATATTTGGCGAGAACAAGAAAGAAAATTCTAATACAGTCTAATATAGAAATAAAAAAGACTTCATGAATATTACAATCGCGATAATAGATAATAAACGCAATATAAGATACAGTTAAAGTAACATCTTACATTTTGAATGTAACCAATGTAACGAATAACATTAACTCGAGAAATCATTATCGTTGATTAATTTATTTAAATTCATTCACAAGAATCTGATGTAAATTCATGTACAGTATATCACGCTTTTTCTCCGCTTCATGAATAATAGTATTTTTCACGTAATGATCAGGTTTGCGGTTTGTATAATTAAAACAACGTGAGATTAAATAACGAAATACTTACTGTTTCAAAGAAATAAAATAAGAATTCTCTTCTCTTGAATTCCTTCCGACGAACTGATATCTAGAGCCTCATTTATTTACCATTCTATTAAACTCCTTTTCCTTGTTCTCCATCGGAGTTCTTGTATCTGCCCTCGAAATAGTCGTCGCTGACGCAAATAATGGCACAGCTTTTCAAGCCAGTTTCTTAAATACAGGGAAAAGGGTTGTGAAGTGGTGTCTTATCTACAATGATTTTTTTTTTAATTTCCACTTTGTTTTCGAAGGTAGCAGAGAATCAACAGCGCTATTTTACGTCAGAAGGACAAGCTAATTACGAGTGCGAAGTCTAAAGAGGAATGTAACGCGAGATAATAAACGAGGATCTTTCAAAACGCCAAGGCATTGCGACGTTTTTCGTTTAAGAAAACTTTGTTGCCGGTTATGACACGCAACGAAGAAAAAACTGTCCTGTCCACAAGAGATAAGAAAATTCTCGCTCGTAAGGAATAACTAGATAATTAATGTCATTCACGTGCTGTAAAAGATAACGAATTATATGCAACTAATTCTTTGCCGAGCTTCTGGATAATTCAATCTATTTGTGATGCTTGATTATTAAATTAAAGAATTTCTAAATTAAAAATCTCTCAGAATTAATAAGCAACGTGGTGGTTCTCTACTAATATCCATAGATATTAATAGAAAAGGAATAAAATGGGCAGAAAAGCAAGAGGGAGCTAAAAATTACATAGAACAGTATAATCATGCGACTACCTTAAATTTCTTATTTCAAGCGTACTTTTCTCTATCTTTTTGCTTTCGCAACTATGGAAATTAGAACGCAGTTTCTCTATCATCATTATAAAACTTTCCCGTGCCTCTTGCAGTTTGTTCAATAATAATCTTGTTCTCTTAAACTTTGTTATCGAGTTTTACAATAAAATGCGCTGCGCACACGTAGTTCCGACAATAGAACGTATTTTCACTTCCGCAGGTCATCCCATTATATTCGTGTATGACCATTATTTTCATAAAGGATGAACGACGCGGGAGATTCCTGAACTCATGCCGCATTCACGTATTTACCAGCTAACTGGCCGACTCGCTTTAAAATGACGTTTAGCCCGGGGCTAGTCGTTCTTTGCAATGGTTTCTAAGGGGAGAAAACGAGGGGCCAAATAGGGCGGAAAATAACCATTCTCTGCTGAAATAGGTTCGAGGAAAAACGGAAGAATATGACGAGCTTGTATGTACGAAACTATCGACATGTAATTGGAAAATTTGGTTGCAAAATTGGAATTTGAAGGAAGCGCAACTACAAAATCAAAAACAAAAAACAGGTTCTAACTTATAAATTAAAAACTATAATAATCTTAACTAAATACACGGAAAGAATGATTTTGCTTAACTAGCAGATCTAAAAATAATTTTGCTTGGACTACTAAAATAATTATGTAAGACACTTAAACAGCTTGCTAGAATGTTAAAACTTTTAGTAGCATTGTCATTAACATTTAAGCATTCTATATAATTATTTTCATGTTCCAACAAAATTATTTTTAGATCTGTGTCTGGCTAAATTTTAAATACTTCAGTAAAACTGTTCTTTTCATGTAACTTACACATCAGTATTATAATATTAAATGTAAAATTAAAATTTGGACTGTATATTATATAAGAACATATTAAATAATATAAGACATAAAAACCATACAGAAATTATTTTTCATTGAATCACAAATGCAGAGAAATGTAAAAAATAAAAAACTGTAATAATTAAACTATAACTTAACTGTAATAAATGGCCAATGTAGCAACAAAAACGAAGAATTTTTTACGAACTAATAAACCCATACAGTTGACCTGCTTTTTGCGAACTTCCACGTCTTGTTCACATTTCAAGGAAAAAATATCAGATAGAAAATAGCAGTTGGAACATCTACTGCTTGTCAACAGGCGGAAATCCATTCGGCAAACAATCTAGTCGCGAGCTGCTTCGGAGTATATGTATATGTTTGTCATTGAAACGTATAGAACGTATATAACGTATAGAACGTATAACTAGGTCGGTCTGTGCGATACGGAGAGTGGATCGCAACCCACGTGACGTAGACCGAGAATTAGATCCAAAGAAGAAGTCGACGCACGTTCTGGGAACACCAGGCCGGCGGAGTGGCGGATTTCCTGCACTCGGACGTGTACAGGTGATGTCGTTTTGAACCCCCATCTCTTTCTCCTCGGTAAGAATGGCCCGCGGAATTTGAATTTTACAATGGCACTCATTGTCAGTTGAATCGCACACTTTCCGAGCAGTTTAAAAAGCACATGAAAAGAAAGGAAAGATCAGTCTGAACTTTAGTTTGTTAATCCTGGACCTTGTCTGAATTTCGAGATAAAATAAATCTTGTTTTTTTTTATCTTATACGAGACTGCAACGATATTTTTCACCTTTGAAAAATTATGAGAAGGTATACATATGTACACGAAAAGATTGGATTTGCTGTAGTATCTAAAAATTTAGTTAGATATAAATTTGAAAATAATTTTGTTGTACTATTAAAATAATTATATAGGACGCTCACAATTCACAACCTGGTTGTTAGAATAAATTTTTTGCAGAAGCGCTCATTATACTTGAGTATTCTAATTATTTTGACGATCGACTTAACAAAATTATTTTCAGCAAAACGGAAATAAAATTTCTATTTCTAGCAAAATTTTTAGATATTTTAAAATCGTTTTTTCCGCGAATTTTTTTTTTTCACATGAATTCGAGTGAAAGAACAGTGTTCGTTAATACTTAAACAAAATGTTTGTTGATGGACACTCGTTTCGAAAGATTTGTTTGCAGATCAAAATTTTCGTCTCCCTCACGGATTCCTCACGCAT